GGAAATCTAAGGTGTTGCATGTGACATATATTCTATTAATATGCACATCATGGTCAACTTATGTATGACAACAACACCATGTTTACATCACTGCATGATATTAGGTTACTTCTCCCCAAATAATTGACTGCATGTTTCTTCTGAATCATTGAATTAACTGAAAGATTGACTTTTTTTTTTACACAGGGAACTGCATAAATGAAGATCAGTAACAATTACAATGCTTCCAAAGATCAGAATTTTCTACACAGAATTGAATGTAGGCCATCAAATACATTTGGAGGCCTCACCATATAGGCTATGTTTGACAATCTCAGAGAATCATCCAAGAAACATGACAAATGTCAAGCCATACTCTAGTTATTGGATTTGTGATAAAAAGGCATCAAGAGAAGTGTAAGGACCTAATGAAAGAAATGCCCCATGAATGGATATTTCCAGAAAACAAAGTATTAAAAAAATATCTGAAGAGAGGATAAACAAGTAGTTGCTCTGTTGCTGAAAATGCATTGGATTTTCTGAACAGCTTTTAAAAGGTTAAATATGTGCAATAAACAACTGCATAAAGCATTAGCCTAACTTGCAAAATAAAATTAGAAAGATATCTGATATTGTGTAATCTATTTCTGAAGTTAGTGCACAAGTCCAACATCTTTGTACAACCAAATCATCAGAGAAATAAGCTCTGTAAAGGATAATTTGGTCATCTATCATATGCCATGTAATGTGGTGGCAGTAAAAAGAACACAGCATCAGGAAATAATTTAGGATATGAGCTACTTCGACTTGTGGATGACAAATTTTGTTTTGTCATATTCTAGCACTTTGTACATGTACATTCTAACAACATAAGAAATGCTTATCTCAGGGTAGCGCTGTTAGCTTTTAATCACAGCTACAGCTTAAGTCTCTCAAATTTGACTTTTGGATTTGCCAATATAATTCTTATGTGGAAGATTTATCACCCTACCATGAGACACTGGAGCCCATGTCAAAGATATTCTTAGGCACGCAGTAGTAACAACACAATCATTCCTTTTCTTCCATCCTAGTACCCCTAATTCTAGAGTTCCCTTCACACTTGACTATTCGGAAGTAAGTTGAGAACATCTTGGACAACCAACTCGGGATCTCTCTCTCATATAAGGAATACAGATACTTGGTATGATGGAATATGCAATCCAACCTTGAGGACACATGGATTTCAAAAGATGAGTTACGATTTTCATTCACTAGAGGTGAATTTTTCACTCAAGGAGAGTTGGTAGGGATTAGAGTACCACCACATTAATACGACAGCTCAAGAGGACGCAGAAAGCTTCGGATCACTACATTAGAGCTATATGGGCCTAAATACCCATAGAGGTCTCATCCTGCATATATTTTATTTTTTATCAGATTATAGTAAGATTTGAGCATAAGACATATTTGTATTGGGCTTTGGGCTTGGGCTTGTATAAGGCCATCAAAGGAGATGTCATGTATATATCTTAAAATGCACGTGGTAGATGATCTTAGAATGGACATATATCTCAATCTTATGAGTCCCTAACACCCTCACTTCTAGAAGAGGGGTATGTGACTTTTTGTCATAGCTTATGCAAACTACATAAAGTTAGCAAGTTAAAGGATTTGACAGGAAAAACATCTGAATCATAGAAACGTGGTGCAAAGAAATCCAGGCCAACAGAATATAGCCTATAATTACATAGATATTTTAGAATTCAAACAAAAAAAAAAAACACTTGCAGTAGCTATTATTTACTGCATATGACTTGCTTGAACAATGGAACTACCAATGTTCAATAGCTA